TCCCTTTTGTAGTCATTCACTAAGCCTGGGCTAGATGCTTCTTACATTGTTTCTACTCTATTCCCTTCTTTTCACTCCACTGTCACTGGCTCATCCAGGCCTTTGTTCTTCATCTAGACTACTGCAGTAACAACCTTCTTCTTTGTTCTTCAAGCTCCTCTCCATATTCTTGCTAGATTTCTCTTTCTACAAACACAAATCTGACCATATTCACTTAATCCTTCAGTGATTCCTCAGTCTTCAAGGTACTTGTTTTTCTCCAGCTCTGACCACTGTGTTCTCTCCATGGAAAACTATTGTAGTTCCCTGAACATACCATGTTCTTTCCCAGTCCAATGCAGAGATCATAGATCACTGCCTTTGGGAAACATTCTTTGAAACTAGTCCTTCCCCAAACCTCCTCTGTGCTGCAATACCTGGTATTGATCAGATTCATTATTAATCATGATTTAATTGTTATTTTACTGTCTTTTATCTTTGTATTCCTAAATCAGGATTTCTCCGCCTCAGCAATACTGTTGTTTTGGGCTGGCTAATTCTTCGTTGTGGGAGGATGTCTGCATTGTTGGATGTTTAGCAGCAGCCCTGTCCTCTCTAACGCACTAGACGCGAGTAGCATCCATACCCCCAAACACACCAAAAATGTCTTCAGACGTTGCCAATTTCTCCTGACTGAGGACCACTTTCCTAATGCCTAGTATGCTACTTGACACATGATCTCTTTTTAAATAAATGTCATACTCTCTTTTCTGAATGATAGGAAAGTCTAGACTGCTGCTCTATGTCCAGAAACTTCTAGGCCTGAACCTGAATTAGGGCTATCTGAATTTCTGAGTTGATAATGTCAAATGTTATTAACTAAATTAAATTAATATTTGCTGTATTCCTGTGAACTATTTTGAGGGTTAAGGAGTAGTCAGTCATCTTTAGTTTTTGCACTGACATGACTGATTACCTGTATAAGTCCTCTTCTTTGGGAATGTCTATACTCTTTTGGGTTTTCATTTTTAAATAAGGTGTTCTTATTAATTTGTGGAAATGTATTTTGTATTTTAGTGGTATTAACCTATGGACTTTTACTTGTCTTTTTTAAGGTGTTTTTAATTGCATAAGTTTTAAAATTTTATGTGGTCAGATCTGTTAATCTTTTACTAAATGACTTCTGCATTTTTTTTTTTGTTACTTGCTTAGGATGACTAAATAGTGTCATACTGTTTATGTGACAATAGCTAATAAATACACAAAAAGATGATCAGCAAATGAAAATAGCCAAGAGGCATCACTGACAATATACAGAAAGATAACCACTACTGTTGGTGGCAATATAAAGTAAAGCACACTGATTATGTTTGTATTGTTTTAATGCAAGACAGTTTAGCAGTATATCAAAATTTAAACAACCCATTTTTAGAATCTATTTTATAGAAATAATCACAAGTAAGCAGAGGTGATTACAATGTTTAATGGGAAAAAAAGTAATAGAGACTGTTAAACTAAATGTCAGAAGAAAAATTGTGATGTATTTATAAGTTCTTGATCTGTGTATGAATTGACATTGAAAGGTCATCCAAGATACATTGAGTTGCAAAAAGCAGATTTGTCTAGATAGGTGATATCGTTGGTATAGCATAAAAAGTGTTTTTTTAATTGAAATATGTATCACTGTACTTAATAGTCTAGCCAATTTCTTCAGCTCACAAGAAGCTGTTTCACCAGCATTAAAGAACTTATTAAAAATTAGTCAGGTTTTTTTCAGAGGTTTCAAGAGCTATTGTGGCATTGTTCCTATTGTCTATATTTCACTTGTTTGGTGCAGGTGGGTGGTTGCAAACCAATAAATACAAATGGACACATTTATGTAAATCTGATGTGTGCAGATTTCCTAAAATAATCCTGCAATTTGCCTCCTAAAATAGTTTTATTGTGATACAATTTACAAATTTAAGGACAGGAACAACTTTGCAGTAGTATATGCATAAAGAAGATTAATATATTTGGAGTAGTCTTCAGTCTGAGAGGTTTTTCCTTTATAAGAGAAAAAATGTTGAAGTTATATGACATTCTGACATTCTTTTGAAACCAATTTAATATTTTTATAGTTTCTACAGAAAGCTATCATTACTCCTGATTTTGAAAAAAAAGACTGTGTTCCACCATACCGTGAATCAAAGTATCAACTTCAAAAAAAACGCAGAGTAAGTATGACTCTCATTACTTAGACTGTTTAGATGTGTTTGACGGTATGTGTTCAGTTTATAAAGCGTCATTGTAGTCTGTGCCAATCCAGTCTCATCTAGTGTGATCACGTATGTTCTAAGGATAGAGTGACTGGGACACTGGAAATTGTATTATGAATCCCCAGGTCACCACAGTGTTGTTGTGCATGCTGTTGCTGCCTGTCCGGTATCCCTTTTTAAAATGAAGCAAACTTGATGTTGGGTAAAGTGTAAAAAATACACACACACGTATGTATGTATATCCAAAAAAAATTGTCATGGATACCTAAAGGCCCATAAACACATTTTATATGGATTTTCACAAAGTGAAAGTGCACCAGGTGGTACACATAGATGCAGCTTTTTCTTTCCCTTCAAAACAGTGACAGCCACCATGCAAGGTCACTGTCCAAACCTCTTGGCTCCTGGGTACTGTTCATTAAAGGCTAGGAACTCTGTTACAGGCTGTTGTAGGGAACTTAATGTAGCCAGCTAAAAACCCTGGTCTACTTAATCTGCTATTTTCTTTAGTATAACATAGGGGATTGCATCTATTTGGCATTTCAACTAATAAGCATAAAGAAGTCATAAAGAGAACTTGGAGGAAAATTTGAGGAAGGTACTCCACTAACAGCTTGTCACTATTATGAAGCACCTTGATACGTGGTAGACATTTCATAATATCTGTTGTATGAATGTAACAAAAAATAAAATTAAGCATATCACTTGCTAGTTTTCAAAAAAATATTTTTCCAAAGAAATAGAAATTTCTTGACTGTTGGAGTAAGTGACTTAGAGATACATAGGTGACTGAATAAGTTAATGTTTATGTTTAAGCTCCAAAAGTGAAAATGTTTTTGTATATTATCACATGTAGGTTGTTTTAGATAAGAAAAATTAAAGCTGTGGGTTATTCTCCCACCAAGTCAGCAGTTCTTACTAAAAGACAAAATTAAATTTTAAGGCGCCTTCATTTATGAAACTGATAATGCTTTACATAATTTACCAATCACTTTTTTGTGATTTAATTCCTTTTATGAAAGATGAATCTGGAGAGTAATACATTCTGTAAAGTAACCTTATTTGTTTTTAATTAATGAAATTTTCTGTATATAGAATTTTGGGGGAAATGAGGTATAATTTATACACTGTTTATTAAAATTAGAATTTTGTTTTTGAAATCAATTTCAGAAAGAGCGACAAAAAACAGCAGGTGATGGCTGGTTTGGTATGAAAGCTCCGGAATTGACGGATGAACTAAAAAATGATCTCAAAGCACTGAAGATGAGGGCTAGCATGGACCCAAAAAGGTTTTACAAGAAAAATGATAGGGATGGCTTCCCTAAGTACTTCCAGGTATGAAGCAAGCAGAATACTACTGATGATGATCTATGGATTTTAGTTTGGAAAGCACTATAGCGTGATCTTTCTCTTTACTATTAAAATAGACAAATATTTACAATGCGCATCTGCTCAGGGCATATAATAATGGCCAGAACTCAATTCAGACAGCCACCAGCTAGTCATGGCTTTCTGTATAGAGACAGTGTTGCAAATGGTAACTGGGTTCCTAGGTCAGCTCTCTAAAACTTATAGAACCTGTAAGATGGCTGTTCCATATATGAACACTACTAGCCTAAGAGCAAGAATCCTTGCAGAATCGAGGGGAAAAGGGAACCATTTGCACTAAGCTCCTCTTCTTTTCACGGCAAGTTCTGAAAATAAGTTAAAAGTTGGTTTTCAAAGTGTTTTCAGATGAAAGTCCCGTGGAGTCATCCTCTGGTAGCTCTTTGAAGTTCATTTTGTTGTTCTTGACTACCTCTCATGTTACTCATCTGGATTAGTATAATATTCTTTCTTCCCAGGTCTGTCTTCTCTCTAGTCCATCCTCCACATTGTTGCCAGTCATCTATTTTTTAAAACAACAACAACAAAAAAGGCAATCTGTTTATGATACACCTCAGGTCAATATCACAGGTAGCATTCAGCAGTACCTTCGATGAGTCTTTGTGACCTGTAGGATAGAGTCTATATCCCTTAATATAGCCCTTCAACAGTCTGCACTCAAACCAGTTCACCGACCCTTCCTTTGTCACATACCCTCTTAAGTGTGAACACATTCAACTACTCAGTCTTCTCAGAATATGCACAGACTGGTCTGGCACTGACTTTGCCTATGCTTGGCTCTGCAGTTTGCTTGGTGAAATTTTACCCATTTAAATTCAAGCTAAAATGTCACACTTTGTGAAACCGTTTTTACCTCTCTTAGGATTGGTCACTTAGTTTTCAGAGCCTTTTTCGTGTTTTCAGCATAAAACTGTTGTGCTTTAAATTTTTAGTTACCTAATGGATCTTCTTTAAGACTATGGGCTCCTCACTGCCAGGGATCACATATTCTTTGTTTCCTTAACACCTGGGACAGTGCTTGACATATAGTAGATGCTTGGTAAATTTTATTCAGATGAACTAATGCAGAGTAAATTTTATTCAGAAGAACTAATGCAGAGTGGTCAATAAGGTTCTAAGCTGGAAGCATTGATGATAACCTAAAAGATCAAATAGGTATTTGTAGAATTGATGTGTCAGTTTCATTAAATTGGGAAGCTAAAACAAGTTTGTAATATCTGTCCCACTTTTTCCCTCTAGTTACACTGTTCAGCAAAAATTTATGTAGTGTCTAGCACTAAATATATAACAGGAATTTTGGATTTATTACAAATTCTAGTAAAGAAGTATCATTAGTATGACTTAATGCAAATTGAATAGGTGATATATTTTTGCTTTTAAAAAATGGCAGAATTAACTTCGATATTGGTGTAATGTAAGCTTGTGTTTTTCATTCCTTTCTACAAATATACTTTGTTAGATATACTCTGAAATTTGAAAGCAGTGTGGTATTCAGGTATTGCATGACTTATTTCAATCATTTCCTAGATTGGAACCATTGTTGACAATCCAGCTGACTTCTACCATTCACGAATTCCTAAGAAACAAAGGAAGAAAACTATTGTGGAAGAACTGTTGGCTGATTCTGAGTTCAGAAGGTAAAGGAGTTTGTTTCACTTTATAATTGTATGCTTTCTTTAGAATATGCATAAACTTTAAATTTCAGATAATTTTTAAATGCTTTATAGCACAGTTTCTCAACAGCACAATTTACATTGTAGATGGGATAATTCTTTATTGGGGGGACTTCCAAGTGCATTATAGAATGTTTAACAGCATCCTTGGCCTCTACCCATTATATGGCACTACTCCCCCACACCATTCAAGACAATCCGAAATGTCTTCAGACATTTCCAATGTCCCCTGCAGGGCGCCACCATTCCCAATTTAGAACCACTGCTTTAGAGGGAAGTTTGAACATATTTGACTGGCTAGAGAAGAATGAGCCTGCAAAGAAGACTGGGAAAGAATAGCCAACGGATATTAAGAAACCAGGAGGACACAGTGTCATAGAAGTCAAGGAAAGAGAATGTTTTAAGCAGATATAAGCCAGACGGAGTTGTTAACAGGGATAAATGCTGCTGAGACATCAAGTGAAACAAGAACTAAAAACTTCCTTTGGATTTAGTTACATTGAAGTCACAGAAACTTTGGCAGAAGGAATTTTAAGGGAGTGATGGGGAGGATACCAGACTGGAGAATGAGTTGAAAATGAAGAACATAACTGAAGAAGTTGTTATGAAGAGGGAGGGAGAGGCAGGGCTAGGTGATATGGAATTAGAGGATTTTTTTTTTAAATGGGAGTAATCTGAGTACGTTCAAATGTCCTTGAAGCAGCTACATTATAGATTTAAAAGCATGTCTCATACAGAAACCTCTTGCCGAGGTTCCAGATTGGTTTAATAGCAAAAGTGAAAATATTTATCAGGGGTTTTAAAAATAATGTAGATAATAATAGGCAAGGAAAACAAAGTTAACTTGATGTTATGTAAGCTGTTTAATGAGTCTTGGTAATGGAAAAACTTTAGAAATAAGCACTGTCAGCATTGCTGTGATTTTTGAGATTGTCATCAAGATTACAGTAGGTCAGGTTCTATCCATATATGGTAAGTGTTGAAACACTAAAAAATAATCTTAGAATAAGAAAGTTGAGACAGTAAACTAGAAATTCAGAATGAAAGTCATAAAATTACAGGTTAGAGGTTGTCTTATCAATTCATTGTTTTCTGTACTTCATTGAATACGATTTTCACAATGTTTTTGTTATCTGTATACTGCTTGCTTTAAAAGGAAACTTTATAGATACTGTAAGTGGGTGTTATATTTTTCTACGTACATTAATACATTACTTTAAATGAATATTGTTAATCACCTAAATTTACATGCCACAATATGTGAAACACTCTACTAGTCCATCTCTTCATGAAAGTTTTAATCCTCTCTACAACCATCTCAAGAGGTTTTCTGTCCTTTGACCTCTTTGGGATAGGGAACTTAACCAAATATATTTGGTTAAGTGCATTATATAGAATGCACTTAACCAAAGGTGTTCATTAGTAGTAATGTCCTGACAGAGGAAAATATGCTTTTGTGTTGTATGCGGTTTTTAGTTTTGTTTTTTATTTTTAATCTAACTTTGGGTTTCTTAGAAAGTGTGTAAATTGTGGTTTTAGGTTTTGAGTGAGCTGTAAAGTTGTAAATGGCTTAGTTTGTTTTAAAGAGATTTTTAGCTTATCTTCATTTTAGTAATGTGATAACAGATTTATGTAACAGTGAACATGCTTTAGAACAAAGATTTTGTATGCTTTCAGAGAATTTTTTAATTTTTCATAATTGTACTGTGACAGCCCTTTATTGAAGCTTCTAGCAACTACATCAATATTTTTCTGCAATAAATTGTGCTTCTGTGTTTCTAAAGCCCAAAACCCAGGGAAATACAGACTATAGCAGCAGTTCTCTGGTCTGAGGATGCCTTTGAACTTAAAAATTATTGAACATCCAAAGAACTTTTGTGGGTTACATTTATCAATATTTACCATGGTGGAAATTAAAATTAAGAAACTTTAGATATATTTATTAATTCATTTAAAAATAAAAAAACCCATCACATTAACATAGTTTCATGAACAAAACAAAAATAATTTAGTACAAATCTCTTTAATGTCTGGCTTAAAGACAGTTGGAGCCTCATATCTGCTTCTGCATCAGTCTGCTTTGATAACACATATTGTGTAGCCCCTGGAAACCTTTAGTGTACACTGTACACTCATGAGAGAATGAGCATGAAAAAGGCAACAGTGTCTTAAGTAGTCTTGTGAAATAGTTTTCAGCAAATAAACCCCTTGAAAGGGTCTCATTCCCAGACCATACTTTGAAAACCATTGGTCTGTGGTATATTTAAGGTTCTAAGAAATATATTGTGTGTTTTCAGGTAAGTGTAAACTTTTTGTTCTGCTTAGACCTTATTTTACATTTCTATTCCACAAAAGTATTTAAAGCATTTGATATTCTCTAGTAGCTGGATGTAGGGCATGGGTCTCTAGTGAAGGGTTTTCAAGAGCTTCCCTCTACAGTTCCCATTTTTTCTTAATAGATTAAGCTCTATGAGGACAGGGACTTTGGCTGTCTGGTTTACTCCTGTCTCCAACTCCTAGTGTGGCTCCTTACACACAGTGGAACTTAATACAAATGTAATAAATAGATGGTTAAAGTGCAAAAAAAAAAAAAAATGAGATTTAGAAGTGGCTTCCCCCTCACCAAAAGGTTACATTAACTTCTAATATCTAGTATGTCACATACTTTAGAATTTAAAAGTTTGGTTTTTCTTTTTAGATACAACCGAAGGAAGTACTCAGAGATCATGGCTGAAAAAGCAGCAAATGCAGCAGGAAAGAAGTTTCGAAAGAAGAAGAAATTTCGCAATTAAGATTCACAAAGCAAATCACAGTATTTTACATTTCCCCTTTATTTATTTACTAAAGATGTTTTTGAAAACTAACCATCACATAAAATAGACTGGCCCTATTTGTAAATAGGGATCTCTTTTTGGAAAAAGTTGATTTGAGAATCATGCGCCCCTTGGAATAAAAATAGTTGTGTTTATAAAAGACACACCCATGCTTGTGGCCGATATAAAAGTCATAGTTGAAACTAAAAGAATGGTACAAGTGTTCTTAGAGCAAATATATGTTAGTATGTGACCAGAGAGCTAAATGAAGCTATAAGGAGGACTTAAAAGATAATGAAGACTACCTAAAAAAAATTCTGGGGTTAAAGTTGATGAAAATAGGCCTTCAAAATACCTTAAGATCTTGAAAGATTTCTAAAATAGCCCATCTTGTTTCAAAATGTTTTTAAAACAGTTTATTTAAAAAATGCCTATAACACAGCTAGTTTTTTTGTTTTGTTTTTTTTTAAGTGAGGAAGTTGGGGAAAGGAAAAAGTGAGGATGGAAGAAATTAGTTGAAGCCAGACTGAAGTTAATAAACAATTCTGTGAAACTGTTTCTAGCATAATTTCTAGCATCTAACACAAAAAATCAGTTCTGTGTTCAGTGTTCTGCCTTAAGATAAAAACAACTACTTTAGAGAAACACCATTATCCTTGTAATACCTGAGATCATGGGTCCCCATAACAAGAATGTAAGATGGGAGGCTATACTTGGCTGTTTAGAGGATAAATGGCAGGATTTTAAAGAAAAGGAAAAGGGGTGAGGCTGAGGGCCAGAGAAGTCTGTATAGAAAAGTTTAATAATCTTTGAGTAACTGGGATAAATTCATGGGATCCCACTCTTAGAAATAGCAAATTAGAATAAAACATCATATAAAACATTTTAATACTATTTGTGGGATATGTGCAGGTATTCGTTTAGTCTCTCAAGCAGCGACAACTATTCGGAGTAAAGTACAATTTATTGAAAGTTTTCAGTAAAGGTTAAAACAAAATAATACTTTCTAGTTAACTAATTCCTCAAGCATCTGGCTAATTAAAATGTAAAATTTATCTTACTGTTACACCATTTAAAAGTGAAGAAATGTTTCCAGTTTTAAAAGCTTCCAAGAAGCAGGGTCAAAAGCATGACCTGTAGCTGTCATAAGCAGATCAGTTTTATAAAAGAAACATCACAAAACTATGAAATGTGAAATTAGGTAACAGTGGAGAGAGGTTCTGAAATGGAAAGGGTTATCCATAAGTACTCACTGAACACCAACCGTGAGAAAGACAAAAACTTATTTTTAGGCCCAGGTTATGGGGTGGTACGTATGTTCTTTCCAGTTATAACTGTCATAGCTAATTACCCCAAAACTCAATGATTCAAAACAACCACCATTTTATTACAACTCATGATTCAGTGGGTCAAGGCTTGGCTGAGTGATTTGTGCTCTTCACGATATCAAATAAGGTCATTTGGTGGTATTCAGCTGGCAGCTAAGCCAATCTGGAAGGTCCAAGACACTTCCCTAATATTCCTGGCACCTGATAATGTTCTCAAAAGTATGATGACAATTGAAATTTTTCTTCATTTTAACAGTATAGCATAAAAATTGCTATAAAATCATGACCTACACACACTGTATGGCACTGAAGGCTCTAGCATGGTTAAATGGGCTCAACACATTAGTATTTAGGAAGTTCTCCCCACCTGCCTCCTTCCTAGTCACCCCTCCTAAGGTAAACAGGAGTTACCTGATTGAAGTGAGCCCAAGATATTCATGGGGCTGCATTTTTTACAAATGAACAAGGTTGCTGTATAAAATAGGTCAGAAACCATGTGCAGTCACACTTGCCTTAATAGAGGTCAGACCTGTCATCTTCTCACCCAAACAAGGTGGGAAATTGGACTTAGGACTTTCCTGAGCCAGGCTTTTTCTATTAAAGGCAGGGCATGATGATGCATGGGGGAGATGGGTTGTTCCATCACAGCTTACCTAAGAAGTCCTGCAGTCAGGGTGCATTTGAGTGCTACTTTCCCACTGATGCCTGGGCCCACCCCATCCCCAAAGACTGTGAACTCAACGATCTCAAACATTTCAGCCACTCTTATTCTTCCAATCCTCCACCTCATCAGGACCCGTTTTCCTCCCAAAACAATCTGGACCCAATTGGTCTGACATTTCAAAAATTCTCTCGCTCCATCCCCATCTCTCATTCTCTTTTTCCCCTGTTATTCTCACCTGTCAATCTCAGCAAGGGGAACATCCACTATTCCTTTTCTGTCCAGATTACTGAGTTTTGGGAAAGTACCCTGAAGCTACTCACTCCGCTGGGCTTTCACTGCTACTACACAATTATTCAATTGTGATTACTTCCCAACAAGTTCATTCATTCTACTGGTCAGCCAATCACCACAAAATTGAGTCCTATACTTTATTTAAGCACCAGGGTATGCCAGTGTACACCAGTGAAGAAGACATAGCCCCTTCACCCAAAGAGCTTGCAGGAGATAAATGGCATGCTCATTCTCCCAGAGATCCCCTAACACCCACTCTTACCTTCAACAGATTACTGTCTCCTACTTAACCAGTGTAGGCCATCTGACTAAGGCTGTCTTAACTCTTTGTGACTCTAAATGTCTAGAGAAACTATTCCTACATGCATTCCAACTGCTATATTCAATGGCTCTTTTTCATTTTCTTTTTTTTTTTTTAACCGGGAAATATTAGACACTGCTGACCTTTCCTTCCTGAAGCACCAGCTTCTCATGGCTTCTGCAGGAAGATAAACTTCTGTTTATCTACTTTTTTTTTTTCCTTCATTGATTTTCTTACTCTGACCACAACTTGTTGGTTTCCCATAAAGCCTGCCCTCTTATCTTCTGAGTATCTTTTCCTCCCTCTCCTACAGCTTTTCTCTCACCTCTCTACAAAAGACCCAGTCTCCATCCCTACATCTCTGCTACAGATGCACATTTTGAATTAACTATACAACATGCCCATCCAAGTGTCATGAAGTCATCTCAAACTCAACATACCCAGGAACAGACACATCATCTTACTGAGATGGTTAAATACGTGCTTAGCACTATACCTGGCACATAAACAAGTACTGAAAGAAAAGCTACTATTTCCCTGTTCTCCATCCTCCCTGCATTGGGGAAGTCTTTCCAAAATAGTTTTAATGAAGCTCTTATGCATTTTTACCTTCTATGGCCCACCTCTGCCTAACGAAACAAGCAAAAACCCCTACATTCAAGATCTGACACTCAAGACCCTCTATAAAATGACACCACCACAGGCTTATATTCACCACTCCCCTGCTCATGCCTCAACCGTCATATGTGCTGGTTATTTGCCTGGTTCTCTCTCTGCTCTGGAATGCAGATAACTACATTTCCCAGAGTCCTTTGCCAACTGCCTTCCCAGTGAGACAATGGCCTAAGACTGGAGGGCAGAAGAGAAGGTTTTCTCTCTCTCTGTCTTGGGTTGGGTTGTGGCTCTGCTATTTTCCACCTCCCACAAGGCAGCCCCCCACACAGTAGCCCAGGCTTCTGGGTTTTGGTAACACCATCTCGTCTCATTGTCCTACTGTTGCAACCTCTGAGTTGTCTATACTTTCAGCGTTTCCATCACCTGTGTAAAAATTCCCTAAGTTGAATTCTCTAGAGTGATGTTTTTCTGCTTGGACCCAACTGATACATTTCAGCCAAACCAAACTAGTTGACACTGAGTATTTGGTCAGTCAACATATACCAAATTCTATGCATGCCAGCTACTGCGCCAGATAGAGAGTTTTCACCATTTATGTCTTTGTTCATATGGTTAACTCCACCTAATATATTTTCCTTGCCTCCATCCTACCTAACAAACTACTACTGACCTTTCAAGCCTATTCCAAAATCAGTATTTTGAGCACCTACTTTGTGTGAGGCATTGTACTAGGTGCTGGGGTGCCCAGGGAAGGAATAAGGCTGTCCCCGGGCATCACGGAGCTGACAGTCTACATTTCTTCATAAAACCTTTTTTTGGGATTTTCTCCACTGATTTGTATACTCTTGAAATTCCCATTTAACTGTGCTTGTTTTTATTTGTATTTAACAAACAAATATATCACTTACTAAATGCCAGGCACTGTTCTAAGACCTTACAAGTAACTTTTTATATAACTGTTATGTATGTACACATGAAACACATATGTACACACACACGATAATAATAATTTAGGTAACTAGGTAAACCTATGAGGTAGGTGCTACTACTATCTTCATTTAATAAGTGAAGAAACTGAGGCACAAAGAGGTTAAGTAACCTGCTTATGGTTACAAAGCTAATAAATATTTTTTGTCACACCTTTATTTTAGCCTTGCATTCTAGCTATCTCCATGCCTGTTTCAGCATCACCAGCAGGAACTGCTGAACTTTTTTACAAATCAATGTGGCCACCTGGGGAGGAAAAGCTACGAGTCCCACCTTTCCATAGGACATGCATGAAAGTGGTATATGCAACTTCGGCAAAATGTCCTTCAAAGTAGGGTGAGCTTGGAATGGAGCTCTATCCCTTTATTCCCCCACCTAACTCCAATGACCTGATGGCAGAGGCAGAAGCAATCATCTTGGAACATGAGGTGGGAGCTCATTATAAGGAAGAAAGAATAAGGAGCCTGAATCTCTTATGATCAAGTAGCTGCCATTCCCTAGACTTCCACATGAGAAAAGAAGCTTCTATATGCCAAATCCGCTGTTATTTTGAGTTTCCTGTCACTCATAACCAAACTAACCCTAATTTACGGAACCACCAATCCATGGCTGTCTGTCTTTCACTAGGATGAACTCTAAGAAAATGCAATTGATCTCACTCATCTTTGTATTTCCTTCTAACATGGTTCCTTGCACAAAGCCAGTACTCAAAAAGCAGGTGTCAAATTGAAGGTGAATGAGGTTCTAAAATATTTTTAAATGCTGATGAATATTGAAAACCTCAGAGCAGGAGGAAGCTGGAATGAAACCACTCCTGGACACTGTTCTTTAGAGTCTGTATTGGCCATAAGCAGCAATAAGACGGGAACATCTCCACCCTTTGAGGCAGCTCCCACTTTGTCAATACCTTCCTGGAATCCTGGGTATATAAGGCAGAGCTGTAAAAGAGCACAAAAAAAGTAAGTCCTCAAACATGAGCACCTTCAATTTTCTCTTCTTCACCTTCATGCTTTTATCTCTGCCCTCTTCCTACCTACCTCAAACAAGCACGTTATTTTTCCATCATTGCTAAACTAATCTTTTCACCTTACTCCCTCCCCATAACATCTTTGCATCATAATTTTCTCATCTATAAAATGAGGGTAATTCATACTTCTCAGAATTTGGAAGATAGTTAGATGGCAACTGTTAAAGTCACTGGTATAAAGCAGGTGTTTAGAAAAATGTGAGATGTTTCCCTTTTCCTTGACTCCCTTCTCTAGAAGAAACCTGCTCCATTGGTTCTTGGAGGTAACACTTCCTGTTTTCTTCCTACCTTTCTAGCCATCCTCTTGGTCTCTCTGAAGACATTCTTTGCCAGTCCTTCA